AAGTATAGGTTATGACAGTTCACTAAAGGGCAGAAGTTTCTATGGAAGCTGAACCAGAAAAACTTTCTGGCAATCCCCCTTTCCAGAGGTTTGCAAAATTCCCTCATACAGAGTCATCTCCCTAGAGGAGCTCTGCAACAAAACTGTTCAATGGGACAGAGATTATTCATCTGCTTCTTACAATCTTTTTGTGTTCATGTTGTACTTTCGTTTACTTATAATTTATTTTCATGTATATATATTTTACTCACTTTAAATAAAATATATAAAATCCTTTTTTATATAGACTATTATTTAGGCAGACTGTATTCAGAGAATCACTGTAAAATATTTGTTGTTATTTTCCCTAGTAGTGGAGTTGCTCAATGCTATTGCTCCTCCTAGAAAAATATGTAGCAACATGATGGCTACAGTCCCAAAGGCTATGGGAAAAAAAGCAGCAATGAAATGCTCAACACAGTGCTAAGAAATTATAGTAATAACTGAATCTAGAAATAAAAGCAGACAGCTTGTTAAATCAACAGTGGCATTTTAAGCACTTTTATATAGTGACTAGTATTCCTAAAACTTTTATGGATTTCTTTAATCCATCAATCTCCTACAATAAATGTATTTTGCTTTATTGGAAATAAGAATTACAAGAAACATTTCCCCCCCTTGGATTTGCATCAAATGATCAGTACTTTTTATTTTATGACTTCACTATTTAGCTTAAAACATTTGAAGAAAATGACAGCATGCTGTGACGTATTCTTAAAAGCTGCCATAATGCACTGATTTATGTTTAAGAGAATTCTATGCCAGCGTATAAGTGACTGCAGCAGCTCATTCCTTTTGCCCTGAACCACTCCAATGTTTAAATACCCGTCCTTGCACTTACTTTGCCTCGGCTTCCTATATTCATCCAAGTTTACATTACAAAAACACTTATGTACATTTTCTCTTCCATGCATTTTACCTTTTTCAGCTCTCAAAATTATCTTCAAGAAAAAAACCCTGTATTTTCATACACACAGTATCCTAAATTCTCACAACTGACAGAAAAATTGTGACTAAATTCTCCTTTGTAGAATTCTGTATAAATTTGCTTAAGGGATTGAACCCCATCTGGCATTGAAGCGCACTTAGGACAGTGAGGGTGAAGTAGAAGTTGGAAGGGGATGGGGGTTGAGAGATTGAAGCTGGAATGGTCGATGCAAGCTGCACACAATACGGACTTGTCATACTGAACTCCCATGAATATACACAAGTAACATGTGTTAATCAAAAGGGAAAAACAATTACACAAGTAGTACATATTTTACAAAATAGAAGACTATACTTAAATAAGACAGTGAGGTTGACAGAAGAGCCACATCTACACAGGCAAGTGTCAAGGATATTAAAGAGTTAGACTTGATTCAATGGTGTTAATGATTAATTTGACACTATATGGCTGGAAATTTTTTTAAGTATATATTGACACCTGGAAAAATCTAGTACATGGCTATCTTTCTGATAATATTTAAAAATCACATAAAATACTATTATATTTTAATTATTTCTAAAGTATAATACTTGGCATCACAGAAGATGGTATGGCAAACAAATATATTTTAATACTTTATTACATATTTAAAATATTTTATCCATATAACACATGAAAGTCTTAAAATGTGGTCATCTCAAAACAGAAAAAATATATTAATGTTTCAGTGTTCTCATTCTAGAATCAAGTATACACCTATACACCAGTATGGTGGTACATACCTGGAATCCCAGTATTCAGGAAGCTGAGATTAGAGGATTACAAGCTAAAGGAAAGCCTCCCTTCTCCTGAAGAGTTATAATTTGTTCATATATCAAATTCTATCAATACCAGAATACATACAATGTATTAGTCTATTGGTCACAAGAAATATTATTCTGACAACATAATAATTTAGCTCACAATAAGGGGACGTGAGCCATCAAAATAAATTCAGCAGAATTCAAACTTATTCACAAACAACTTGAAATGACAATTTGAATGAAATTTTTGAATGCAACAAATCAAAAGATTAGAAAGTCTGAGAACTATTAAACACCATTAGAAGTCAGTGTGGAGGTTATAGAGATTCCACCAGAAATGACTGACAAAATAATGGTTATACTGCCAGTGTGCAAAGACTAGAAAAGTTGGTTCCCACACTTGAATTAAATGCATCAGTACTATCCAGTAACAATGAAATTTTTAACAGTTCCACTGACAATAGTAAAGAACAGTTAAGACATCTATCTGTAGGAGCCAAGTCAACTTATCATTTTTCCTTGAAAAAGGCTTCTTTTCACAGATGTTCATTACACATTCATTTATGAATTACACTCATAAAAAAGTAACTACAAACAATAGAAATCACATTTTTCAAATTGGGAGGGGATCTGGAGGGATGGCTTACATGAACTTACTGCTCTTGGAGAGGACCCCTAGGGTTCAGTTCCCAGAACCTATATTGGGCAGCTCACATCCACCTGTACCTTCAGTTCCAGGGGGATCTGATGCCCTGTTCTGGCCTCTACATGCACCTGCACACATATGGTACACACGAACACATACACATACACATTAATAGTAAATTTTTTTAAAAAATTTATTTTGTAAACACGATTCTCCTGCTTCTGCCTCCTAAGTGGTAAGATTACAGGTGCATAACACCATGCCTAGAAATTTCTTTTGAAAGCAGTTCTGACACAGGAGTTCTAATTTAATTATTTTGTCAAAAATCACCAAACAATATTGAAAGTAAATTTCAGCATCATTTCATATAATACTGATAAAATTGACCAGGATAAATGACAATATTAAAAGTCACACTAAATAAATTTTACAACAAATTTAATAATGCTCCCAAAATACAGCAAATAGTATTATTAATGAGGAGATGTGCTTTATTTTACATGTCCTCCTTTCATTGATGAAGTTATTTAAAATGAAGTACAAAACATGTGCTTTCCTTTCCTTACTTCAAATGGGTATCAACAGTCACTTGTAGACAAGGAAACCCCATGGTCTCTCCTTGCCTCTTTCCTTCCTTTTAAATATATACTTATTTAGGTTAGAGTGGAAAAGAAAAAGGAAAAAGAAACCCCTGAAGTCCAGGCTTTTAATATTTGGTGAGAAAAAACTGAGTTAGGACAGCCAATTTTTTTTTTTCAGCAGCTAGCAATTACAAAAATACAATGTATTAACTCCACATCCTAAAAAAGGCTACAAATGAAAGAACAGCAAGACTTATGAACAATTAATATCTGGATGTAATGCCGATGACACATTGCAGGAAAACAACCTTCCTGAATATTATGGGATTCTAACTGCCCACATGTGTGCACGTAGAACAATTTTACAGTTTCCAAAGGTCAATGGCATCATACAACTTAGTGGAGTATTAAATTAGAACACTCAAGTTATGTGTGGTAATGCAAACATTCTAGTCAACGAATACCAAATACCAAATTAAGTAAGCATGAGCAACTTAGGCAACGGGTTATTACATATTAAGCAGCTTTTTGTTGTAAAAGTGAATCATGAAAGTACAGAAAATGAACCTTTTTTTTCTCTAAGCACTCTTCAAGTCCATAAACTTGTTTTGGTGCAAGATTGATTTAGGCAACACAGTCTGTGTTTGAATCATTGTAGAAACACTATTTCACTTGTCTTCAGTGTTTGATACACTACTTTGTAAATAAAGGGAACATTTGTTATTTTTTAGCAATCATACTTGAGCAAACATCCTAAACTTTTTTTTTTTACATCAGTTTTAGGAATAACTTCAGCTGTGACCACAATGAACCCATCTAACAATATCTGTATTTCGATTATGGGCAAAGACAGAAGTTACAGTGTTTAGTGCATTTTATTCACAAGATCAAATGGCATTGGTAAAAATAAGATAAAGAAGCTTAAACAGATCTACAAATTAAAGTACTGTGTACATCTTAAATTACGCAGCAGGGGTTAAGAGGGGAATGTGTCAGTAAAACAAGGAAATATTACCAAATGCAAAAGGAAATGGAAAAACAAATTACCTCCTAGCGGGTAAAAATTAGTTTGTTGAAATTATTTTGTCCTTAATTCTAGTGATTTCTATTTACTGATTTTCAGGAGTTACCATGAGGAAGAGAAATTACATCACAATAATTGAAATATTTAGTATACCTGGTGTTAGAGCACCCTCTATCACATGATCATATACAGAGATAGTTACAGGAACTAGTTTCCTTAATGTGTGGCTGTTGGTTTAACCATTAACTTTCCTGGTTTTAATTTCCTACTACCAGGGAGAAAAAGCTTTGTCCAATTTTAGTATCACTGTAAAAATATTACCAACAGAACCATCTGTCCTCAATAGCAAATGGCATTATTAGCAAAGCAATCCTGAACTCTTATTTGAACTGTGGTCCTACCACCTACAGCATCTCTATTCCCTAAAAACTTAAATCTGGGCCTGCATCACCCAGCTGTATTTCCACGTCTCCTTTCCCAGTTATAAACTGTGCAGTGGAGAACCAGTCTTTTAAAAGCCTTCTGAATTCTGATGCATGCTAAAGTTTGAGAATCACTGCTGTACAAGAAATGCCCATCGGACTTCCAAGGGATATTTCAGTAACTTTCACTATCTGTCTAGATATATAAGGCATCATTCCAACAAAACACTGAGAACAATGGCTAATAGTCTTCAACTTTCCTGGAAAACCTGGGCTTTCAGGCAAGAATTCGTTACTGGCGGTAAATATGTGTTGATTTTGCTAACTTTGAGGGGAACTGTTCTCCGTTTACCTAAAACAAACACGCCACACAAACAAATCTATATTCAACGTTTCTGAGCCCTAATAAGAGCCCTAATACTGCTCGGTTTTGCAGAATCAACTAAACCAATAGAAAACAAAAGCTTTTACAACAGAGGCGAATGAATGCCACAAACCCTGTACCCTCTCCACAAAGCGAGAAATGATGGAGGATCCCGGCAGGCTAAAGAACTGACCAGGCGTACCGTGAGGAACAGGCACAAGGAAGCAAAACAGGGGAACAGGAACTGTTTCCCTAGGGCTAGAAACTTAAAAAAGAACTCCACTTCCTCCCTGCTTCTGGTCAGTTTTCCCTCCTAACTCCAGCAACTTCCGCTGGGAGAAGCGGCAAAATCCCTCCTGCGCGGGAACCCTTAAGGGGAGGAGACTTCGGTCCCACCCTCCTCACTGGTGGGGGCGAAGAAAGCTGGGGGGC